TTCTTGCTTTATTCCTAGGATATACTCCTAGGAAATATATAATTTCTTTGAAATAATCTGTTAGACTAATTTTAGAGGATGTAAAGAATTAATTTATTATTGGAGAGCTTCAGTTGTAAGACTGAATGACTAGAAATTTATGGAGAATCTTATTGATTATTCTAATACATTCATCTACTTTGGTCACCATTTTTATGAAACATTGGGGAAAAGTTTTACTTCTTTTAGAGATTAGATTTAGTCTGTGTATACTTTGTAAACAATTTATAAAGAAATCGTTGTTGGTCTTGTATCTCTAAAGCCTGTAATTTCAACCACTACCTCCTTAATAAAGACTTTTCTTATTCTCCCTTCTAAACACACCACTTTCTTTTTCAGGAATGTATTTGTGTATATGCGTATTTTATATTCTAGTTATTTGTATACTAATATAGCAACCCTCTTTTTGGTTAACAGCTTTTTTTATGGTATATTTTAATGATTGTTTTTTTCCATTCCCCTGTTATTATATAATGCCTTTTTTATAGTAGATTTTTCAGTAAATATTTGTTAAACTTAACTGACTCAAATCTCTAAGGACATCACATATAGAAAGTGTTTATCATATATAGTATGAATCTTTAGAAGCCTCAATTTCAGAATATATTTTTTTCAAACTCCATTTCATGTCAGATTTTGCACAGATTTCTGGAAATTAGTACAGATAGCATAATCCTAGAGAACTAAAATTTTACAGTTTGAATTGGTTTAAAAATGCACTGCTCTACTGTATCATTGCTTATTATCTAGACTGGAATTTGCTGTTTAATTAGGCAAAGTCTGTTATCACACATTCTGATACAAGAATAGTAAGCAATCTGTGTTTGAAAGAACAATTTATGACTGGTATTCCTAAATCCAAGTTCTGAGGCTCTTTTCTTTGCATCAACAAAAATTAAGAATCTTGGGATTGTATACTGCATTAATAATGATCATGTTTAGAGATTTAAAACATTATAAAGTTCAGATAATAAGGTTTTTATTATTGTGGGATAATGATTTCTGCAGTAGTTTGAATTTTAAAAGTTAGTAGGTGGTTATCTATTGTTGTCCAAAATATTTTCTTTTTTAAAGAGAAGACTATTTTTTTCCCTTTAGTTTTGTGTTCCCAGCATTTATTAACATAACTCTTGTTTAATAGTAGATTCAAGCAATGTGTAATAAGTGAGTGAATGACTACTGGTCGTTAACCTCGTTAACTAATTTGTTATATACCTTTATCTTATTCTTTCTTAGCCTTGGCTTACGCGTGTATGTCTGCTTTTATTCCCAAATACCTGTATAACTTCTTCTTGAAAGACAACTCACATGTAATACAAGGTAAGCAGATATCTTTCCTTGTCTCTTTAAGGGAAAGTACTTATGTCAAGTAACCAATACTCAATTGAATTTGTGATTTGGACCCAATAAAATATGATGATTAATTTCACTAAAACCAATGAAGAGATCATTAAGTTTAGTCTTTCCTCTTAGTCCACAAAGAATTATGGTATTTTTCTAATGACTGTTTAATATCTGATCTCAGTTCAGTTCAAATTTAGGCACACTCCTTTCAGAAAATAAAAGTCCTGCTGTTTGTCTTTCACAATTAAAATTGCCCACAAAAAGCTTCACCATGGAGCAAGCCTATTATGAACTAGTAAAAAGTTTAAACAGTGTTTAATTGTGTAAATAAATAGAATATTAGAAACACTTCTCATTCATCTCATTTCTCATGTTTAAACACCCAAAATATTCTTCCTCTATCTTCCATTTTCCTAAAATATCCTCCCTCCTTCAGAATCTAAGTCATAGCATAACCCATTTTTGAAGTATTGCTGGACACTTTAGCCACAATTTTTAGTATAATTTTCAGAATTTCTTTTTGGAAGTATGTAACAAAATAATATACTTTTGAGTCAAGCAAACTTTATTTTAGATTTTAGCTTTGTTGCTTATTGTGTAATCTTGAGCAAGTAACTTAAATTTGCTAAATATAATTTTTCTCCTACCTAAAATAAAGATTTTTGTAAAGGTTAAACATAATAAAATATGTAAATGCATGGTACATAGAAACATTCAATAATAATAATTACTGTTTTATTTTTATTATTATTTTTGTTGCTATCATTGCAATTGGTTTGCTAATATCATTATTATCATGGCATTATATGTTGTTTTATGTCTTTCAACAAGAATCTAAATGTTTTAAGGGCAGTAAATTTTCTTATATTTTTTGTATTTCTTTTGGAACAGACCACAAAGCTGGTCATGCAGTCTCCCCATTTACCAATTTTATGACACTTTTCAGATATCACCTTCATTTTAATGAAGTAAAATATGGACTTTTTATTTATACATTTATGTCTTATTAATTCTATATTTTCAACAATTTAAGCTAAGTGCTTTGTTTTTTATATATTATTATGGTTTGAATAAATGAAGCAGGAAAACTAGGCTGTGTATGATTTATCAAACATTCTGAATAAGTGGCGTATCAATTAGCAATATTTTTACTTAGTTAGAAATGAGTATAAAATTAGAGTATCAGAGGTCAATATAATGAGAAAATAACTAGAAAGGAAGTAGAAATGGAAATGGCAATGAAAAAGATAAGGAGACTAAGAGGAAAAGAATATGAATAAATAGCTCAGCACATAAAAACATTTTTATTTCCAGCATCATTTACATTGAAGTATAGAGAAAAATAATTAAAACTGTTTTTAAAATTTTGTGTTTGTGTTTACAAGCACATCGAGGTGTGTTCACAGTTCTATGTGTCTTCAACGTAAATAGGTGCCAGAAATAGAAAGGATTCAGTGTTTCTATGTTAGTTTTGAAATGTAAATGCTATTGATTTATATCTGTATTTTGAAAGATTTGGTTTGAAATGAATATGCCTAATTTCCTGCACATTCCTAATATACGGACTTATATAAAGTTAGGATTAACTTAAGAATATTTTCAGAGGGCAACAATACTTTGCTTTGACTTTTTATAATCAAGGATGAATATGTATGTTTTCTAGTGAGGAAGTTGTTTTTGCTAGTAGGTTAATTTAATAAAGTTGTCCAACTTGGAGAGTCATGCAATGTTATCTTCTAAGAATTTATGAAGTGATGCCCTGTAAGAGTGTGCCTTGCATCGTACTAGTAGGGATGTGTTCCATACTTATTCATGGTTTTCTTATGATGCTTATCAGTGATGTTTATTATAGAACGGATGGTATGCTCTAAGATTCCAGTAATTCCTATCTGAAGATGCTGCAATGAAGGCCCAAGTTCTTGTAGGCCTTAACCAGCCAAGGACTAGAGTGGGGACCCCATGCCCAGCTGATAGCACCTGCAAACCTGGCAGCTAGAGAGCTTCTTACCTCCCCACGACCGCCTTCACCTCTGTAAGACCATGAAGGAGGAAGCAGTGGGGAGGGCCCAAAACCTAGGACCACAAGGAGAATTGAGGGTTCATGGCCTGGCCTAGTTCCTTCCTGCCTAAGGTAGCTTAGCTAATTAAGATTGGTCACCAATAGGTTACAGCATGAAGTCTGCCCCTCAGCATCCTGTCTTCACATGCTACACTTTTATTACATTCCCTACCTTCTGCTGCATCCCAGAATACTCTTGAGTGAAATGTCAAGCCCACTATTGCATAATATTAGAGAGTTTGCAATAAATTATTTATGCTGATAAAGTATAAATGAGTGGATTTACTAACACCTTGGATGATACCAGGAGATTTCAGCGGCTATGTGCAATGTAAATAATCTGTCAAGTAGTGACAGACTGAGAAAATTAGAGGTAGAAAATAATCACGTTAGTATTTGTGCAACACAAAAGGTGACTCCTTAATCCTCTGTTAAGTATGCCAGCAATATAATGCTGTTATTTTTAAAGCTAACAGAATTTGTTGTATTAGCTGAACTTTCATATATAAAAGCCTGGAAATAACCTTTTTTCCAAATTTGTTAAGCCCTTGTTAAAAGCATAGCGCCTAGCCTATTTTAAAATACAGAAATGATTTACCTTTAAAATGTTTTATTTTTCCAATAATTGTTTCACATTGCAGATGGATGTGTCTATTATTTCAACATGAAAAAGAAGAGTTTTCACACTTTTTTAACTACAGATGTCTTTAGTACACTTTTAACAGGCTTATTATGCAAATAAACAACATCTTATTTAATTTATGAAAATACAAGAGAAACCATAGTGTACACAATATTAATTTGGATAGACTGGTCAAAAAGGCCAAAAAAGACTCTTTTTACTTTGATTGATTAATTAGTAATACATTTTAAGTATTCAATATTATAATTAAAATACCTCTCCAAATTATTTAACTTTTATTTCTCTAAGTATCCATAATTTTATCAGTTATAACATCTGTAAATTTGTGTTTAATATCTTGAATTGGTAATTAATTTTGAAACTTTTTTAATCCATATTAGATGTTCTTTCATATTATGATGAAAAACGTAGCATGTATATTTTCCCAAGAATCAATAGACATGGTATTTTAAATCATTTGTTCGGTTTTTATATTGATGCTATATGTTCTATAAGAAAAAAAAGCATAGTTTCAATAATTTTATCTTTCAATAAATATGTAATTGCTCTGTGCTAACTGTGCCAGGCACTGCTTAAGGAATTGAGATTCTTGAGGCAAATAACATTCAATCCTTTTCCAAGGGATTTCATAGAAATAAATGTGAAAATAGCTAACTGTAAGCCAACAAGATAAGTATACATATTACTGTGTTAGCACAGAGGAAGAAGTGGGAAGAGGTTATTTTGATTTTTTTTTATTTATTTTTTTTTACTTTTTTTGGCAGCAAAGGGAATAAATAGCACATCTGGGAAGGTTTCCTAAAAGAGAGGACACTGGTGAATTTGAAATTTGAGTAGGGAATTGGTGAAATTGGGAGGACATTTTTAAGACAGAACAAGGAAGAAGACTGCAGTAAAAACATGAAAATGAGTTGATAAAGCAGCCAGTAGTCTGGTGCGTGGAGTTGGAAAGAGAGGGATGGAGAGCTAAAGAAGGAGCTGAAACAGCGCACTGTCAGTTACTAACGTTTATGGAAGTGCAGTGCTTTGTTTTTCTTCAAAATGTTTGTTTTAGGCTTGGAATTAGAAAAATTGATCTCTCATTTTACTGATTCCCCCTTTGTCCTTCTCCACCATTTTGTTTTATGGTATTTCAAGCTATAAACTTCAAAGTAACATTGGTTTTGATTGACATAAAAAAAATACGCACACTTTTTTCCCACAAGTTTTGGAAAACTTGTGACACTATGACACTGTGATCAGTAGCTAATTGTAGAATTGCATATTCATTCAGTCAAAATAATTGTCTTTACAGAAATCAAAAGTTTCTTTAATAGCAACTCTAAGTTTTCTTTGAAAAAATAATTTGTATAATTATACACTAATAGAACTTTAATTTTTTTATTCTGAAGTCTCATAAAATATAGGATTTGCATATTTATAAGGCTCTAAAATGCTTTGCCTCTTTTGATGAGAGAAAAACTATCTATTTAATGAAGATATCCTGGGTTTGTTTGTTATTTTTAACTATCGTGCTGTTTAGTTATTATCTGCAGAGACATTTTTTTTAGAAGATAATAAATTTAATTACTTCTGGCCTAAATTAATATTCATCATTTTTGTCGCTATTAACTTATCGCTTGCAGTGTTGCTATTGAGTTGATGAAGTACCAATACCCAGGTACTTTAAAAATAATATACTCATTAAAAAATTCAGAGTTTAGCCTCTCGATTATCTAGGATTACTAAAATTATCCTAAGATTCAGAACCTTAGAGTGCCAGTTGGATTTAAAAAGATGGAGGGATTTGAAAGGGGTATATTAAATACAGAGGTATTGGAAAATAGGCTTGTAACTTGCAGGACAGACATACTTTATGCTATTGAAGAAAGAAAAGGCAGCTTTAGGCCAGTGAAGAAAGAGGCAGCCATTTAGTTATGAGTGGGAACTAATCCTTTGCAGAAAACCCAACTGTACTTTAACATCGTTTTGTACTTAAGAAGGGAGCAACCCAGAAAACTGACCTGTAAAACTTTTACATGGTTCTTTGTAGACATTTTGTTGTGATTTGTTCACCAAAACAACCATTGGAATTTTGGCACAACATTAAACATAGTCTTGTACTAGTTATAAAACCAAGTCATATTCACATTTGGACCATTGGAAAAGGTGGTGGCTACAATTCAGAAGGGGAAAGATAGAGGGAGATATCATATAAAATGGGAAATAAAAGTGGGTGAAAATTTCTGCAATTTTTTGTTTACCTGCATATCTTTCTAAATCCTTTGAGGCCAAGGGCAGTGTCTTCTTTACTATGACATTCCATTTAATGTAGTGCCACCTATAGCTAGGATGACTATAAAACTAAATGTGATATATTTGAGAGTTAAAAGGGGCACTGACTTCACTCAGGCATTGAGTCTATAGGTGGCAGTTGGAACTCTCCCCAGTAAACTAGGATGTACATTCACTCTACACATAGACATTCAATACGCCTTTGAGGGGAAGGAAGGAGGACAGACATCAAAATCTAAAGTCTGGGGGGCCGGCCGAGTGGCTCAGTTGGTTAAGAGTTGGCTTAAGAGCTGAGCTCTGAGCAACAGGGCCGCTGGTTCAATTCCCACATGGGCCAGTGATGCTGCGCTCCAAGCTGAGCTGTCACTGAGCTGCCAACAGGTGGCAGGATGGCTCAGCTGGTGTAACAACAAAATTGCCTGTTTGATGGTAGGCTATGCCCACCCGCAACTAAGATTGAAATTGGCACCTTGAGCTGAGCTGTCACCAGGATGGCTCAGTGGATAGAGCATTGCTCTCTTAACAACAAGGCTGCTGGTTGGACTCCCACATGGGATGGTGACTATGCCCACCCGCAACTAAGATTGAACACAGCACCTTGAGCTTAGAGGCCACAAGCTGCCAATGGGAAGCCAGATGGTGACTGGCGCCCTCCACAACAAAGACTGAAGAACTGAAGAACAACAACTTGGCTGGTCCCCCTCCCCAGTTCCCCAACACGGTTCCCCTTCCCCAATTCCCCAATAAAATCTTAAAAAAAAAAAAATCTCAAGTCTGGTGGTCAAGTGTGAGTATAACATAAAACACCTTTCTCATCAAACAATCACAGAGAGAGAAAATATACAACTTCACTGTATTCGATAAAGCCGTGCATTATATATCTCCAGTTGGATGCACATCTTTGTCATGAATGACTTTCATGCTAGGATATTGGGAAATGGCAGGGAATACACTGAATGTACAGCCTTGCCCTTTTCAAGGATGTCTTGCATCACGAGACTAAGATTTTTCCTGAGGCAGAAAATGTTCTACCTTTACTAGAAATATTATGAGAAGTACTTAGTGAATTTGCTTGCAGATTTTTTTTACCAGCGCAGGGTGTGTTAGCAAAAAAGAAAATGGCTCACAAAAGTAGCCCTAAAGATTTTTTTGTCTTTCTTTTATCTTCTTCTGAAACCCCCTCTTCCCATTTTAATATAAAGATTGATGCCTCCTCTTGTGACTTTCGACAATAGCCAAATTTTACAGCCGACAAACTTTGTAATGGAAAATAATCTAATTTGGGTTCATTTACAATAAAAAACGTTGACTCCTTTTGAGTGCTTTGAGTCTAAATGTCACCAAATGGTTTGTTCGGGGTATGGTTTAGTTGACAAGTGATGTATAACTGTACATACTTATTTATACTCACTACAGGATAAAATATCAACCTGATGGAAAAGGATACATATAGAACTGAGAATGCCATTTCTGATTTGTGAGCAAAGGAAACCTTTTGCTTTAAATGTGTTGCCCATCAGCCTACATCTCCTCCTTGCCCCAACTAAGAGAATAAAAGCAGAAAGATTGGTCAGAAAGGAAAAAATGAGGATACCCATGTGTGGCATTTTCTGAAGTTTCATCTCTGTATTTTTTTATGAATTTTTTTAAACAGATTGCTTATTTATAAACAGCTGCACAAGAATATGATAATGTCATGTGAAATCCTTACACTGAATTCTTTGGGGATTGTTGTTTTAA